ATCAGGTTTCTTTTGAACAGAGAAATAAAAAATATTTCTATTTCAATCCCTACAGTGGTCAATACAGTCTCACTGATATCCATCTTCTACATGAAATGAATGCTTTTTCAAGAAAGCTTATACAGCAGGCATTTTAAAAGGCTGTCATCAGCCAGCTCACATTTGGTAAAATTTGAGAAATGCTCATAGAAAGGATTCTGGGGAATTTTATCCCAGACAAATCCCACACAGATTTCATAAGGAAACTAAAGGGACTTCATCTCTTTTATTAGACCCCTTACTGTACTTGCCTGTGTAATTATGTAACCCAGGTAACTAGACCGATTGCATCGGAAACTCAAGAAAGGTTTTGGAGTAAAAGATACTCATTCCAGTAAACAAAGAGAGCTTCCTTCAGTTCTCTTATAAACTAATGAGCCTTAACACAATTTGCCACTGTTCATGCTTCCCTAAACAAAGGACTGTCAGTCTGACAGTCACCATGAATTCATAAGTACTTTTCTCACCTGGTCCCTGCTTCATACCCATGAAGCATATCTTAATCTATATAGGATACGCGTCTATCTTACCACATCAACACAAGAGATCGTGTCATCTCTTTCCAATCCCATACAGAGAGCAGTAAAAAGTTTGAAATGAGGTAGAGAATTTTGAATAGTACAAGAATTTGACTAGTGCTGAATGATGCAGTATTTTAGCAGGTCTGATAGCAGCTGGCCGTTTCAAGAACTTAGCTTGTATATCATGTACCAGCAAATCCAGAAATGTCTTTCCCCTTCCTCTGTTTTTAGAGAGTTTGAAAGAAATGCTGAGCAAAGCCAGGATTTCACCTTTAAGTATCCTCTCGTGTTGAAAAGGCGAGTAATGAAGAAGGGTGACGTGCAAGTAGGAGACATGCAAAGATAAAAGATTTCAAATTTACCTCTCACAAGCTGAATTTAATAATAGAGGAATTGGATGTGGCCTAAAGCTCTATCTGATATAGAGGGCTTATACGCAAATTAACTAGAAGGCAGTTACATGATGTTTAATGTCCTCTGCAGCTATGTCACAGATTTCCCCCAGGCCCTTCTTGAAGAAAAGCTTTAATGCCTAACATAAGCAAAGTTTGTGAACATTACAATATGACATTGTAAGTAAAAACAGTGTTAAGAGAAGTATTAACCAGAAATGTTGCCATATAAAAGCTTATTAAAATGAAAGGACCGAATACAGTGTTTTTAAGATGGTATTAGGAAACTACTTGATCGGACTTGTTGAAAACATGTAAAGAAGAGATGTTGGGCATATTCAAGGTTTAAATAGTATGTTGTTGTTCCAGTGTAATGTAAATGGAAATATGGTAACAAATTTATAGTTCATGCCACTTGTTAATACCTTGCCTTACGGCTTGAAGTCCACCAAGGACTTGCCATATATGCAGTGCCACCTATGCTGTCACAAGAAAGTTACAGTATGCTGGAAGTTATGTCCCATCTGCACAATTTGGTCTTTAGGTAGAAAACAAAACAAACAAAATCTTATAGTAACACATGATCATGGAAGGCTTTGATACAGATTAGCTCTAACAATGTAAAAATCAGGCATTTTAATAGAACAGTTGCTTGAAACACTATTCTTTGGATATACCTTAATAAAGGATAATTTTCTAGAGCAAGTGTTCATAATTTCTCATGACACTTGAGAAAAAAAATGGACACAATGTTTAAAAGTAACAAGACAAAGTATTTTTTCACAAAATGTGTAAAACTGTGTGCGACAGTTCAATGTGGGGGAGGGGGTTCTGGTGGTAGGAGAGGAGATTTGCTCCCTGTGCCACCAGATCAGACTGCCATCCCCCTCGGGGTTGAGCCAATCATTGGTGCCTCTGCGAATTGCCCTATTTACGTTGGGACAAAGGAGCAAGAAAAGGTGCTTTGCCCAGGAGCGAGGAGAAGGGAGGAGGGCACTGCCCCCGTTCCCTGGCTCCCAGCTGGGCAGCTGTCCGCGCCGGGCCGGTGCCACGTGCTTAAGATGGTGGCGACGGAGCCGCTTGGGGAACTCAGGGAGCGCCCCACTCCCAGGGTGCCCGCTGGGCCGAGTTCACCCAGAGAGGACTGAGATCTGAGAGAAACGGCCACACAGACTCCAGGTCAGTGCGGATGGAGCAGGAGGAGGTATGTCAGAGCTGAGTTTCCCTTGCAACCGGTGGCGAGACGGCAAGCGGCCCCTCTGCAGCCAAGATGGGCTCAGCGAAGCAGAGACCCACTCGCAGCCCATGGAGAAGCCCACGTCGGGGAAGAGATGCCTGAGCCTGAGAGAGGTCATGGAGCATGGGATGCATGACGAGTAACTGTTAATAATGGAGCATGGGATGCATGACGAGGTAGTGGGGCATCTAGAGTCTGTGGGACAACCCATGTCGAAGCAAGTGGCCACAACTCCCTAAGAATCTGAGACTGGGTAAAGCCTGCACTGGAGCAATCTGATGGGGAAGGATTGTGTCCTGCGGGTAGGACTCACGCTGGAGAAGTTTGTGGAGTTTTCCTCGTGAGTAGGGGATCCATTGGAGCAAGGGAAAATGGTGTAAGGACTCCTCCTCCTTTAAGAAAGGAGCGGCAGTAACAACATGGATAAACTGACCTGCACTCCCCCATTCTCTGTCCCCTTGCACTGCTAGGGGGAAGGTAGAGCCGGGAACAAAAGGAAAGGGGGTGGAGAGGTGTTGTTTTTAAGATCTGGCCTTGTTTTCTCTTTATTCTCTCAAGTAACTGGTTTTGTTTCCCTTTGTCCTTTTTAAGCAACTGTTAATAAATTGTTTTGTTTTAAGAAAACTGAGTCTGTTTTGCCTGGGACCATGGTTGGTGGGTGCTCCCTCTGTTCTTGACCCTCAGTCCTTTTATTATAAAACCACTACACTGTGGATGCTGTGGAAGTATCCTTTTTAGATTGGTTCAGAAGTAGTTTACAAATGGATAGCTTAAAAACCAAGGGATACTAAACACAGAGTGCAGTTGCAACTCTGGCACAGAAAATCCTTAAGCTGTATGCAACCAGGAGCTAGGAGGGTAAACCAGATCTACTATTTCATAGTTACCTCATTCTTACAGGAATATTTGCTATTTACCACCATTAAAGTCAGAACAATGGTTTACATCTCATTTATCTACCGATTCAAATAATATATACAGAATTCTCCAGTTAAAATACTCCCTACTAAAATGCTGCCATATGTCTAATGCTTCACATCTAAAGAAAAGGGCTGATTTATCCCTGTGAAATGGGGAAGAGAAAGAGAGGAGGCAGAGAAAAGAGAGAAAGCATTTCTGACGGTTTAGCCAAAGACAGATTAATCCTCAGAGCACAAATTGCATACTGCATTCATAAGAGATTTTGCATTTTGTCAAGAAGCCTGAGGCCAATGCATATGAGTGAAGTAGTTCAGGAGAAGACCTGGACATACTCAGGCTCCATGCTTCAGATCCTGCTGCCTTGTCAGGAATGTAGTGTATTAAACTTTGCTTGAGGATAAGTGGTTCTGGCAGACAACTCAGTGCTCTTTTACAAAACAAGTAGGAAAAATATTTTTATTTAGTTAGGTCATACTTTAACGTGTATTCATATGCATTTACATAACACACTCAAGGATTTTGATTCAGAAAGAGCAGGGACCAACTTCGTCAACTCATGTAAACCCATATAGCATAATTAGTGTTTAACAAGGATTTTGATTTGCAAGTCCAGCTGGCGTACCAAACAGACAGGGTTAGGAAAGAAAAGTAGTTCACCTACAAATAAAAATGTAACCTACTCAGGCTTTATGGAATGAATTCTAATTAACCTTTCTTATCATACGTCCAATGGCATGCCTTTATAAGGACAGATACCTCTCAGATTTAGAAAGAGTGGAATAAGAAACACCACGCCTATCTGGAATAAAAAATAATCTTGCTGAAATTACTGGGCTGATTTTGTAACCAGCACAGTACAAGCAAATCTTGCTCTTAAGAATCTGCTAGAATTAGCAGCATGGACTCTCCCACACGGTAAGCTGTTTCGCATGATATATTTAGAAGTCTGAAATTAGCCAGAGATAGTCAGCAGAAAATCCAGTACAGGGAACCTCTTAGCAAAAAGCTTGTAGAGACAGCACTGTCATTTTCAAGATACCCACCTGTTTACCCACATGGAATATGGGAGAAAGGCAGGGCTCAGCAAAGGTCTTCCATGCTTAATCTTCCACTGACATGATGGCCTGAAAGAACTAGTCCTCACTCTAGTGAAATAGGTTAGGGATGCCTCTAGGGATTATTTTCGTATTTACAACTTCCACTTACGCTGAATACTGATCTTCTGATACTCAAGCTTCACATTCTGGGTTTTGGCACTAGGACCATAGGATTTTTCTTACTTAAAACTAAAATTTGAATAGCATAGGACACAGAATATCACAAGCTAGAAAGAGCTAAATTTTACAGTAATACAAACTCCTTCAGCTCTCAAGACGCATACCAGAATGGATATCACCACTCGAATTTCACAAGAGAAATTCCCAAGACAGATTTTACTCTCTTATCTTCAAATATCTTCCCTGGAAAGTAGCATTTAATCAACAAGTGGACACGTGCAAGTTTCTAAATTTTTTACTATCAAACTGAATTTGGAGCCTCTTTCTTTCTCAACTTGTTAAAATGAAGTATCACTTCTAGAATAGGATAACATAGCAACAAGTAAGATACTCTAAGCCAGTTCTTCAATTCAGCTTTTGTCTAGATCAATCAAAACAATACATTTTATCTAATTTTCTAGCTTCAAAGACATATCTGTTTTCCAAATAACTTTTTTTTTAGGAAATGAATAGTGGCCAAGACAAATAACAACATGAAAGTGTCCCATTATGCCATGGAGCTCATGAACAACAGACTCATGTACAACACATAATCAACAGTTTAATATTGTTACCTTTCAAGATTCCAATTAGTTGTTTTTATTTAATAAAATTTTAGAAGTCCTTACCTCACATCATTCTGTCCTTACATCGAGGTTGTTGCTAATCTTCCTGAAAAAGACCTTAACATTATGATCCTTGACTTCTGGATCAAAAAGTGTCTGTGTGGTTGTATAGAACTTATCATAGTCTATTGCATCTCTATGAGAGGAATAATACCAACTGAGTTAAAAACTGTCAAGGTACAGCTTCCTTGCTTATTCTCCCTATCTCTTGTTTTATTTCTCCTTCAATATCAATAGCATGCAAGTTCCAGCTCCTCACACTGTGTTCACTAAAGCATTTTGCAAAAAAGCCAAACAAACAAACAAAAAATTTCAGCCTTGATGCTCAGTCTTTTCAAAACCCCCTGATTTGCAATATATGACAGGAATCAGATAGATAAAAGAATAGGTGAAAAATTCTCACCTCTTCTTTCTTCCTTTACTCTCATACCACAATTCTGGTTTGTCGATCTGAACCCGAATGGTATTCTGGGATAAAGTTTATCCTTTCATGGAACAATAGCCACTTACATTGAGAAAAGCAAAACTTCGCCCTGGTTGTTTACAATTAAACAGCTGGATTTACATAATTCATTGGGTTCATGCTTTTATAGATCACTAGATCACATTGTGCTAACTTGTATGTGTGGCAACTCTGTCAATTATATTTTATGAACAATCACCATAGCATTATAATTTGACCAGAAGTCCTAACAGAAGAAAAACACTCTCATAGCACAACCTGCCTATTTCCTGTAAAAACAAGAAGTCACAGTTTAAACATTAATTTGAAGTCTTTCTTATGGTCTTGTCTCTATGACACCTCCTCTCCATATGAAAAATTACACTTTTCCATCAGAAAGAGTATCTCTTACCATCATCTTCAATATACAAGCCTAATCTCTCCTTTGTCTTCTGGGTTACTGTTTTTTCAACTAGTTTCTGGAACTGTTTCAAAGCATTCTTGAAATCTGGCACTTCAAGGGCAGAGAAACTCTCCTTGTAACAATCCTTCTTTTCAGACATCCTTTATTAAGAGAGGAAAAGGTAAGAGGGAGAGCTTTTCTTACAGCCTGGTCCAAGCCTTGTTTTGCCCCTTAAACTCCCACATGAGTTCATATAACATGCAGCTGCATGACAGGTATATCAAGCACTACGTAATAAAAAAGAGATGACTTTGGCTTAGCATCTCAAGCTGGTAAACATGCTATTGATGTCACTGTTGATGTCACAATCCCCCATTACATCACAGAATCCTACTTGCTGAGCAGCCCTAGGTCAAGAACCAGGATCATTAATAACCTGGGCATGTGAGATTATTTTGTGGTATCTCATGCAATTGGTCGTCGAACAGGCATGAACTTTCTCAATTCCAGAGCCCAACAAGGATTTCATCAGGGTTCAATTCTGCTGCAAACGGCATAACTTTAGGAATATGAGATCACATTCTCCAGTAATAATATAACTTTGAGACTAGCTGTTGCTAGTTTATCATATCTTTCACACTTTGGTACTGAGTGAGGAGGAGGGAAGTTACCTCTACGTTTCATATTGTCTTCTTACCCTTGGGATTATTTTCTAGTTTTCTGCCAAAGGCTGCGCACCAGCTAACACAGTTAGGAACAGCTGCAGTTGTGGATTCCCTTGGGGATCCACACATCATTTGGTGAAGAATGGAAAAGCCAGTTCTCCAATTATATTTGCTCTGACAGGAGAGCTGAGATCACCCTGATGATATTTTAGCATGTGCTACTGCTGCAATGCTCAGCCCTCAGCTCTAGATCTCAATCTAGATCAGGATGCCTGGCTTTGCAGTAGCAATAAGAGCATTTTACTGGAGATGTTAAGTTATGAATCATTATTCACATAGTACAAAGAGGCCAAAGACATCCAATTCAGTTCAAGAAGAACTAGAAAAGCACTTTTTGACAGTTAGTTCTTGGAAGTAACATTGAATGTTTCCTTCCTTAGTAAATCTCTCTCCATTTCTTGAAGATATGCCTCGTTGCCCTCTTTATTGTATTCAAAATCCCTACTCAGTGAACTAGAACTTCCAACCTAGAACTGCAATTACCCTGCAGAAACATTTTTTTAATTGCATAAATCACTATGATAGAAATTGCAAGAAATCCAATGATGGAGTGGTAGAGTTTTAGTTGTCTTCAGCTGTCCATTGCCTCTCCCTTAAGCTCCTACAGACATTCAAACTTCCTTTACTTGTCTTACTTAACTTCCAGTCAAGTTACTGTTTCTTTCTTTCTCCTAACAGACAATTAATGAGCCCAGGGTTTAGATGTTATCTCTTAACATGTGCCTGGCCAAAGCTCAGTGATATGTCTTAAATGGTTACTGTTTTGAAAAGGGTCTGCATTTAACTTGCACCTAAGTTCACTCAGGATCTTAAAGCCAGAATACTCCTACACCAAGGTATCACAAGGGCCTTTCTAGTTTTTGTTCTCGGGGCATACTTAAAACAAGAGCACAATGGGGTTATTCAGAAAACAAAATTGCAGCTACCACTTTCTTTTGAAAGTGTCAGTCCAGAGCACTCACTGACTAATCAAAATTGTTTGATACGCTACCCAATTGCGATCAGACAGAATTTTTGTCCTGAAAGAGCACCAGTCCTTGTGTTATATCTATCCTGCCACATCTTAAATTCTTTACTGAATAGTGGAACCCTAGGGCATTCTACTGGAGTGGTAGAAAAATGAATTTTTTTTTTCCTCTAGCTGAAAGAGAATTAAATCCAAAACTATCCCTTGAATCAAGAACACAGTGACTACTGAAGAAAGGGCAAGTACCAGTTCTTGTGGGAGTGTTCTAAAGAATCAAGTTTCATTCGTTCTTTGGAAAGGAATGATGTAAAAAGCTGTTTTCAAAGAATGGTTCAGTGCAGTGAATTTTAAGAAGGAAGAATTTTCCTGAAAAACAAGGTGCTTGAAAAAGAAGTTTCATGATTTGCACCTGTGATCATTAGTAGTCTTCTATTGACTAAACAGTCATAGTTTAAAAAAAAAAGGCTATAAATATTGATAATTAATACGCTAATTACTTTGGATCATGTTATGATCACAGATTCTCTGCATATGGAAGCTAGTTATCTTGTGCAGCATTCTGGATTCTATACCACACCTCAGATGATTAACTTTCAGTTCCTACAACCCTTTACTGAATCTGATCCCTTATGCTTGATAACATTTTGCAAATTGTAAAGGCATCATAGCATTTTTTGACATTGCCATGTGAGGCAGTGTGTTCTACTGTGAAGTCAGAAGAACTGTGTTCTTGTTGTGGCTCTGCCATTTTGTCTTTCTTGGTAGCCTTATCAGGTTGCTAAAATCTACCAGTAAAACAGGAACAATATCCCAACCCTGAATTAGTTCCTTTAAAGTATTACTAATTCTTATAAGTTAATGTCCACATTTTGTGTGTGTGATATTTTTGGTTCCTTCTGTATCACTACGCTATCCTGACATTAAATTCTGGCACCTTTCTGTTTACCACACTATTCTCATGTCCACTGCACATTTACATAAATATTATTAGCATAATAAATATAACTGAAGTGTAATTGAACATGAACAAAACTGTTCATGACATAAGCTATGCTCAAGCAAACATGCATTTACATTTGTTTACTGATCTTTCAGTTAGTGAGGTCACTAATTCACATTCATTAACGTGATCACATATTTCTGTGATCAACAAAATTCTAAAGTACTTCAGAGAAGTGATAACGAGTATCTTCTGCCGTTCAGAAAAAATTGAGCTCATGAAAAAAAAAAAAAACACGAGAAAAGTTGTCTCTGTTTTTATTCCCATCACTGAAGTAACTGACATCCTAGACTATTTTTGGTTTTATACAAGTGCAGATGTTACCACTTTATTAAGCATATGATTAAGTTTTGGATCAGAAAATTCGACTAGAACAGGCAAGCTAAAATATCCCCTTTGGCCCTAACTAGAGTCCTTGCTCACAAATTTAACAGAGGCATCATGAATTCATAAAGTTTAAATCCAGAAGAGAACTTGAGATCTACTTTCACCTCCTCTGTTACATATCATTAAACATCAGCCATTTATCACTATAATGAGCCAAACAACTTTGTTCTAATGCATAACTTGTGGAAAGGTATCAAGTTTTAATTTGCAGATACTAAGACATGGAGAATCCATCATTGTTCCAGAAAGTAATTGCTCACATTGTTAAAACTTAAGCCTCCTATTTGAATTTGTGTTTTTGGAATGTCTTCACTGATTTAGAGTAATAGTTGATATATTCTCCTATTAGCGGCCTTTGTACCTGAATTACTTCTCCACATTTTTCTCTGGTTAATTAAAGCAGATTGAACTCCCTGCCTCCTACTGCAACACTTTCCTTCAGGCCTCAAAATAATGTTTGTGATTATTTTCCACATTATTCAGCTTTTCAATATCTTTAAAGAGTGCTGATACCATATTGCTGTGCTATACCATATAAGCAAATTGGTACTCTGATCAAATAATGAATTTCAGTCTATTTGTTAAATTTGATTTTCACTAAACCATATTGATCAATTTCTTTGTATTGTTCAGCTATTGATCTCCAGGTCAGCTTTTCTATTACTTCACCGAAGGCTGATGACAGGCTCATCGGTCAAGGCTTTCTTGAATTTCTGAGCATGGAATATCTGCTCCGTGGAGATTTTGTAGTTGAAAGGAGAAATTATATTTTATATTTTTTTGTGGCTACCTAAAGGACTGACAGCAATCAGACGTGTTTGAAGAATATAAAAATCACTTCTTCAAAAAAACAGATAAGGACCATAGCCTTCATACACACTTGGGAAAATCAGCTGAACAACTGTTTTGAAACATATAGAGAAGACAAAAATTTGTTATTAAACGAATTTACTAAAACTAATGCATGTAAACATCTCTGCATGACATAGCTATTTCTTCAGGGAAGGTGGTGTTCCAAGATATGCTACCTAGCTTTCTAACATGAGCAATGCAAGTGCTTGAAGTTCTATCATTTCCACTGAGAAGAGCACAAACTTTTCTGGGTACTCCTGCTCAACAATGAGTATGTCTTTCAATGAGAACAAGGAAGAGAGTTTGGCAGAGAAAAGCAGCACCGATTCCTGGAAAAGGGAGGGATAGCTTGAGGATGCATTTTTGCTATTTTCAACACTAATTCTCCAGGAAAACGTTTCCCTTCTGTATTCAGCTACTCGGTGGTTGTTCAGATACTATATCTTGGTCAGAGTGACAGTGTTATTTGATATATTGCTTCCAGCTGAATCCTTGTTAGGCAATGTTGCCTATTGATTAATTTTGCCAGTCTGTGCCAACTAAGCTAGTACGACATGAGGCTATATTCTCATTTCCCAACTAATAACAGTGGTTTAAGGCTTATAAAAGATATTAACATCCATCCTTGGAATGGAAAGGTTAAGAACAGAAAGCTATGCTTTTTTGTCTTGCAACCACCCATGAAGAAACTTCATGTTATAATGAAAATACACAGAAATCCCAAGTAAGGAGCCATTGCTTTCAGTACTGGCTGATTTTGTTGTCTTCGATGTTTAAATACACAAAAAAAAAATGTAAGTACAATTTTAAAAGAAGATGTGATGAGTGAGAGGGCTGACAAACAAAAGTAGAGAAGATAGGAGCTGTGATAGAAGATAAGCGAAGTCTAAAAGAGAAATTAAATCTTAAATTGATGAGTAACAGGAAGTCCTTGCATTAGAAAGTTACAGTAGCATTACCTGAATGAAAAGCATTTTCTTTCGTGTCTCCCTGACACTGTAGAAAGCATTAGATATGGAATATAGTAGAGTTAATGTTTATTCAGAATTCAAACCACCCAACTCTCCTCTTCTTCCTATGTAATCACATTAGCTTTAACTCTTGGAAATTCTGAGACCAGTACAAAGTTAATGATACTCTGTACGGGTACAAATAACAACTACAGCAAGCTCATTGCAGGACTGGCAGCTCATTTGAAAAACAATCATTTTCAATCTTAATCTCAAGAA